AGGTACCTTACAATTCTGAATTTCAGCCAAAAATTTTAAAGAACTAGTACCTATTTTCCCACCCAGTACATGCAAAGCACCATCTCTTGGCAACTTGGACATGTCCTCAAACTGCCAAACAATTTCTTCGTCCTCATCTAGATCATGCTGTAACTCTTCCTCAAACCCCACCATGAACAAAAACTTATTCTTACAACGATGTTTAGAATTCCATTTCTCCTCATAGTAATAACAGATACCAAGCTCTCTTTTATGCCGTAACTCTTCATGTGAAAACCTCTTCATAGCTGGAGGTGGAGGTAAGGCTAACGGTGGTTTGGAACCACTAAGTTGAGGGACTGAAATCGAAGGATTCGGACTTGGAACAGTAGAAGAAAGACGAACAGAAGGTCCCACAGCCTCAGAAGAAGTAGAAGTGTTTCCCTTAGGAAACCATTTCTTGCCTCCATAAGCAAAGGGTGCTCGAAGTTCAGAATGGAGTTCATCATAAGCCATAGCCTGTTGCATCGCTTGATGCAAGTTCTGAGGAGAACGCAATTGAACCGCACTCTTGAGTTCAAGTTGCAACCTTGATACGAAAAAACTCAGATACAAATCATCATCGAGTCCAGGAACTTGATTGAGCAACGATTCAAACTGTTGCATGTAATCCCTCAGTGTTCCCACTTGAGTCAATTTAGAAAGAACTCCTTTCAGATTAGAATAAGTCGAAGCCCCAAATCTCTCGCGCAAAGAACGCGCTAATTCTTCCCAAGATCGAAGCATACCACTGCTGAACATCCACTGATACCACGCTGAAGCAGTTCCCTCCATGCGTAACCCAGCAATAGGCATCTTGCTCTCATCAAGTATCTGTTGAAGAACAAAGAATAATTCGGCACGAAAAATCCAATTATTTGGATCGACACCACTGAACAGAAGAATTTCCATCGAATGACTCTGGACAAATTTCGATTATCCGTGTCGAAACGCGACCTATACGGAGTTAAAGAAACACCTTCGGATTGAGGAATCGAAGACGGACGTAATGGATATTCACGAGTACGCGTATCAAAATCCAGCACCGTAGCATTGAGTTTCTGCAATTGAGAAGCTATCAAATTCATTTGAGTCTGAGAATCATCCAAACGAGATTCAATTCGAGATTGATTGTTCTCTACACGAGACATCAGCAACTGGTGTTCATCAATACGAGTAGTCACACGTTGCTGCAATGAGCTGAATTCCTCAGCCAATTCCTGTAAGCGCATTTTGTCGAACGGTTGGTGTCCAATGGATGAAAGCACCAATTGTTAGGTAACAACCTAACAGACAGAGGAATAATAGTAAAAAGAAGAAAGAACACTTTGTATTAATTTCTGAATGAATCTTTACAATCAACATCTGTAACTATTTATACAATTCAACTATTACGTAATCCCTTCTCAATGAGGTATATCCACCTGTTATTACTTCTATTCCTATAGGGACATTTGTCCTATCAATGACAGCTGTCTTACTATGCCTTATACATGTGGTCACTTATGCTACGTAACCTTTCAACCTACTAGAATGCCTTTTCTGTCTTATAGATACCCTTCTTGTAACCTGAAAACCTAGAAAACTGAAAAGCCTCCTTTCCAAGTTGACAAGTTCCTTTATCATCTCTGAGGAGTCCTCCACAACTCGCCACTCTGATTGTGTGTGCTGATGCTCCATCAAAATTCAGTTTGAGCCACCCCGTTTCTGGCGGTGTCCAACGGTTAAGGCTTTCAAAGTTATACCTGCTGTTATAAGACCTTTGCCTCCTATCCTTCGCTTGTTGAACGTCTCCTATGCAACTTGATATGATTTCATGTGGGAAGTTCGGGACCAAGAAGGTTTCGTCGTGTACTTTTCGATTCCTCCATGTCCAGAGTTGCCAACATGTTATAGTATAGTTTTCGGTTGATTAAATGATATTTTTGTAATTTAATTTATTTTAGGTTATATTAATCTTTATAATAATTTTTACCCCAACACCAACACGAAATTGTTTTGAGTCACTAAAGAAACATTAAACCTTTTAATTTAATCTTTTCAGTAAATTATATATAAAATGTGACTAAATTTCAAATGCAAATAAGCTACATTTAATAAATGCAAATTATCAAACTATAGTAGGTCAGTTGTTAACAAGAAAGCTAAGTAAGAGAAAAAGAAAGTGCATCAGTTCAATTCTCACATACCACTTTTAGGAGGGGTTTAATTATCTTCTTCCTGACCCGACTCGCACTTTGGATTAGTTCCATAATTGACTCAAAGAGTCAAAGCATGCTTGTGGGCAGAGGCGGACCCAGGGGAAGGGCTAGGGTTGGCCACCGCCCCTCCCTGATTTTTAGAATTTTTTTATTATTATATATATAATTTTGGGGTGAAAAAAATTAATTTTTGATTAAAAATTAAATAATTGGGCTGAAAATTTCAAAAAAACTTAAACAAACACAACTTTAGAAATTGAAATTGTAGTTTTTTTCAAATGAAGGAGCAAACTTTTAGGGCTCAAAAAAGAATTTCAAAATCAAGCACACTTGATTATCAAGAGGGTGACGAAAATCATTGTTAAAGAAGACAATAGCAAAACACACAAACAGGGGTTCCAATATTTTGAGCTAAATATTGGGGAAGGAAAAGAACCCGCATCCATTGTTGAATGGAAGATAATCAAGATCAGACTTCAAAATTGAATGGAAAATCAATTTCTTGATGATTCTTTGATTACATATGTTGAAAAAGAATTTGTTTTGAATTTTAGCACAGATTCAATTATAGAAGAGTTTGATAATATGAGAAAACGTAGAGCAAGAGTTAAGTGAATTGACCTTAAATTTTGTAATAAAACTCTTTCAAACTTTTTACATTAGGTTTATATATGATTGTATGTACTTTTCTTAGTAATATATAAAAAAAAAAATTCACCCCCCTTGATAAAAATTTCTGGGTCCACCACTGCTTGTGGGGATATCGAGAGGGGCGAACTCGTCTCAAAGAGATAATTATGGTTGTGTTAACTAGAAAAAAGGCTAATTAAATTGATACAAAAATTTGTCTACTTTTCTTCCTATGGCTGTGAAGATTCATTTACTCTTGATTTTAGATAGAGTTTTCGTTTTTTTTTTTTTTTTTTCTCTTTTTTCATGGCTAAAAAATCAACCAAGTTTTTTCTAAAATCAGCCCGGCCCTATCTGAGGGATTTTTCAGCATGACTTCGGCGACTAATGAATAGCGGACAAAAATCGTAAGAAAATAACTTTAGGAAAACGACGAAGACTAAGACTTGAAAAGCTTCGCCACGCTATCATGCGGTTTTTTACCAATGCAATGCAAAAAAATCAAACATATCACTATTTTAATTCTTTTCGAAAATTATTTATCAATTTAATACTGTGGAACATGTTTAGAGAGTATGTGCATTCACTTTGCATATCATCCTATATTCAACTTATGCAAAAATCAAATGTATCAAAATGTGTTTGTCACGCCTCGCTTTGCAAGATTTGTATAGAAGCATGTGTGACTTGAATGGGTATTGTCAAGATACTCACCATGTATTGGCAAATTTTTGTACAAGTTATATATGGGACACGACTTAAATACGCACATTTTCTATGTGCATTTAAAAAATTTGTGAAAAGAATTAAAGCGGTAACATGTTTATTTTTTTTTCATTTTTTTGTTCACAAGCCTTATTATAGTGGTAACCATTGAGTTTGGGGGAAATTAATGATCACACTAACATTTATTAAATACAATATATATTTGGTTATTCAAATATGATGAGTCTCACATATGATTGGTAATGAATTAAATGAAGAGTATATAAGTGAATGAACCCATGAACTCAATTGTCGGATGTGGTCCTTCGCCATTAGCTTCCCCCTAGATCCGTCTGCCAGTGATATTAGAAATTGATTGGACTCATCACATTTAAATAACCGAATATGTGGAAAAAAAACTACTTATATTTATCACGACGCCGGTTAAGTTAACATCCTAGGGACAAGGATCATCTTTTAGGGGTTTGAAATTGAAAGGTCAAACTCCACACACGTTCATGTATCTAACGAGTATGAAAACCTTTCATTTCATTTTATGATCACTTAACAAAATTATTTCATGAACTTTCTTTTTATATATATTAATTAAATAAATTTTAGTTGCTTCAACTAGTTTATCTTGTGTTAATTAATCTATGGATGCACTCAATTGTTACATTATTCTGTAAAACATAGAGGAAGTAGGGTCTTCATCAAATAGATATTAGGAATGAGGATGATCTAAGTTAACAACTTTCAAGGAATTAGGATGCTAATTTTTTTAATAAAATCTAAATTAAGAGTTACTTCAAACACAGAATAAATTAATTTACACACTTAAAATAGGGTTAGCTCTACTCTTTTCAGGTTGTGATATGGTAAATTTAATTAGCTCTTTGATTGATTAGTATGATCAATTAGGTGAAATTCTTGGGTGGATGTAAAGTGATGTAAGTTGTCAAGTTCTATACGAATAAATAGTATTCGGTGATGACTTTCTTTTTTAGTTTAATTTCCAAGTCATACTCGTAATTACATGGAAGCTTCATCGCCTTATTCCTTTCATCCTTTATCAAACTCGCAAACTTAAAGCTTACAATTCCCAATTGTTTTATTATTATAAATTTATTATGAAGAAAACAATACACAAAACAAATAATATTATAAAAATAATAATTTTATTTATACTAGATAAGATCATTCCATATTAGCATATGTTACACTCTCAGTATTAATAGTTGATCTTATTTATGTATAACAGATTTAATTTATTAAATATATAACTTATCATACACAAGTAGGTTAATGGCTAAAATTTGGATATAAACGTTCTTATTTTTCACAATATAAGTTGATACAACAACCCTTGTTTATAAATATGACAATTATTTTAGTCATTCACACAACACCTAACGAATATTCTGCAACCTTACTACTTTGGTGTGTTTTCAAGCAACGACTATATAGTGTTAGGTGATGAACTTGTTTTATAATTTAATTTCCAATTCATATTCACGTTCACATGGGAAATTCCACAGAACTTTCACGGCCTTATTCCCTTTGAACTTTTGTCAAACGCTTGCACACTCAAAACCCGCAATTTTTTTTTTTTTTTTTTCATTATATAAGAACATGAACCTTATTGTTCGTAATAGTCACTTTCTTTCTATATCACTTCGAAAATATCCTTCAATCATATCCATTAATTAGCAATGGTCCAAGATAAGAAGCTAGTGGACGAGGTGTCATGTTGGCTTAGAATCTACGAGGACGGTTCAGTAGACCGGACATGGACCGGACCGCCGGAGGTCAAGTTCATGGTTGAACCGGTTCCTCCACATGAACAATTTATAGATGGAGTTGCCACCCGTGATGTGACTACCTACGATGGTTCCGGCCACTGCATGAGGATCTACCTGCCGGAGAAAACCCCCGATGACAACGGAAAGCTACCCATACTCCTCCACTTCCACGGTGGTGGATTTTGCATAAGCGAACCGGACTGGTTCATGTACTATCAATTTTACACCCGGCTCACGCGGTCAAACCGGACCATATGTGTCTCCCCTTTCCTCCGCCGTGCCCCTGAGCAGCGCCTCCCTGCCGCCATTGACGACGGGTTCTCGGTGCTCGTGTGGCTTCAGTCCGTGGCAAGGGGTGACTCACATGAACCGTGGCTCAAGGAACATGGCGACTTCAACCGTGTTTTCCTCACAGGGGATAGCTCAGGAGGGAACATTGTACATGAGGTGGCAGCAAGGGCCGGTTCAGTAGACCTGAGCCCTGTTCGTCTTGCAGGAGGAATTCCGGTTCATCCAGGTTTTATCCGGTCGGACCGGAGCCGGTCTGAGATGGAAATGCCAGAGTCACCTTTTTTAACATTGGACATGGTGGATAAGTTCTTAAGCTTGGCACTACCACTTGGGTGCACCAAGGACCACCCCATCACGTGCCCTATGGGCATGGCAGCACCGCCACTTGACGGGCTGAAGCTGCCGCCGTTTCTTCTATGTTTGGCGGAAATGGACTTGGTGAAAGACACACAGATGGAATATTATGAAGCCATGAAGAAGGCCAACAAATATGTGAACCTGTTTGTTAGCACAGGAATGACACACAGTTTTTATCTGAACAAGATTGCTGTGGATATTGACCCCAATACTAGTGCACAAACTCGTGCTCTCATTGCTAGGATCAAAGAGTTTATTGATAAGCACTGAATTGAATATGTTAAAACTGCTCATCAAGAAGAGTTTGATTTTCTGTGTTAGAAATATAATTTTAAATATTAAATTATTTACCTATATTTACGTAATGATTTACGCTTTTTGAAAATCTATGTGATTAAGTATTCACAATTCGACTTTTGCGACACCTTTCCTTCTAAATAATATTGGGAAATTTGATACTCACGTAATAGTTCAAACTTTTGAAAGAGTTGATTAACACCCATGTGAGTTGGTTAGTTTGAGAAAATAGGTTGATTGACCTTTTTGTTTCCGTTTTAATAAAAAATTATTATCTTATCCCCTTTTTTCAATCTATATATCAATTTGTTATTCTTCTCAAATTATATATTAATTTTCGTGGAGGATATATCAATGTGCATTTATTTGACCAAAGTGTGACCCATACTTACTCGAAGAAATGACTTAGCAAGAACTGGGGTTTGGTTAAACTTTGATCAAAATGGACAAATTAATATATAGTTTAAGAAGAGGGACAAATTGATATATAATTTGAGAAATTAAACAAAGTGGTAAATTGATTTTATAACAGGGATAAAATGACCAATCAATATTTGAAAATAAATTATTGCGATTATTTGTAGCAGGAGGGTGCAAGGCCTTTTATTTAATAGATTAATGTTTCTCATGTTGTAGGTGACGATTTTATCTCCTACACACACATAAAAGTATGTAAGACTCGTGTTTTCTTTTTTTCTCTCTTCTTTTCACATGAGCCCCACATACATTTATGTGTGTGTAGGAGATAATTTTATCTCCTACAACATAAGAAATATTATTTTCTTTATTTGAAAGAAAAAGTGTGTGTCCTTTTAATAGACACAATTATATCCTTTTAAGAGAGATAAATAACAAACTATGGGGGAGACGGAGTGGAAGAAAAAGTTTGTAATTCAAAATTTTAAAAAATAAACTATATTCATCTAAAAGGACTATCCTTTTAAATGATAGACATTTTCCCCTTATTTAAATACATATAACGACGATAATTGAAAATAGTTTCGTACCATAAGTTTAATATTGACAAATAAACCAACATACCACACCAGCTTATACCTCCCCAGATCATAGTGATCAAATTGACTTGTTTATGGTGGTGGGTACTGTTATGGACTCATATATGAAGCTCATTTACTACCAGGCCCAATAAGGGACAATTCAAATATAAATCTAATATAATTAAAGGAGGATATCCATCAAAGATATCAATCCTCATACGACAACATTAAACATGGGCTTGGGCTACTAGAAGAGGCACAAAAGGTCCAGAATCCAATACCCACAGGTAAACCCTATAATTAGGAGGTAAAGCCTACAGATATGATTATTCTCTCTCCATTACTATTATGTTGTCACTATGCATACACACCACCCCTTTGACGAAAGTTGTTTGTTATTCTTTTGTGCACAGTGATCTACAAGACTCAAGGGTATCTAACTCATAGATACCTTAGAGAGAGCACCTAGGTCCAATAGAAACTTACTAGCCCATTGGGCTAGACATCTCTGTTTTCAGGATAAAATATCGGCGTCGTCTGTGGGGATCGAACCCACGACCACGAGCAAGAATGGAAGTTCGTACAAGGAGTAGCAAGTAGCAGTCAATTGCCACCACATCCTAATCTTCCATTGAATCGTTCTGTGGAGGAGATAAATCAGCCACATAATCAACCAGAAAATGAGATTGATTACGACGTTGTTGACGTGAATGAGTACGTCTCAGACACAGCCTCTACACCTACGCCAGCAAACTAAATTGGAGCACCTCATCCTCAGCCTGCAAATACTGCAGCCTGCGGTGCTCTTGCTACAGATCCAAACACCCGCCTTGCACCAGACTGTGTTTACTGCAATCTTAAGGCTGATGGAGGAGAAGGAAAACCGTAATAATCTTCAGCGACAGAAGGATATGAGAAGGTTCCAAGAAATGGAACACCATAATCATCTTCAGCGAGAGGAAGATGTCAGAAGAATTCAAGAGATGGAGGAGCATTTGATTTGGATAAGGAATCTGGGACGTGATGGAGACCAGATCCGAAATAGAGGTAACAATAGAAAGGAAACTCATGGAAAAAATCGTCATCTCCAGGATGGCAATGATCAGGTCCGAGTTAATACGGGTCGCAACTTGGATACTCATATTCAAGTTGGGATCACTGAAGTACAAGGTGCGACTAATATTGGTGGGACTTCGAATCCCAATAATCAAATTCGGGTTGACAACATAGGTGAAGGTCACACCTAGACACCAATCATAATGTGAATATGGTAATTCCTACCCTAAATGCTGGAGCAGGGAGGGATATGGAGAGCAACCGGGGTGATATGCATCACAACCGGGATACCTAGTTTCCATATAACCAAGATAATGTTCAAGGTTGTATCAAGACTGGTGCATACAGGAGGAAATATAGTAAGGGAAAATACTAAAATAGTCCCTTCACGGGTGAAATTCTTAATGCCCCATTTCCAGAAGAATTTGAATCGACACACTTGTCGAAGTATGATGGAAGTCAGGATCCACGGGTCCACATAGATACTTTTGAAACATATATGTATATCATAGGGATTGATGAGCCCATTATATCCCGGGTATTTTCTACAACTTTGGCTGGATCTGCGCAAACATGGTTCTCCACCCTGCCTACCAATTCAATTGGATTTTTTGAAGACTTTAGAGAGAAGTTCCTATTGAATTTTTCAACGAGCAAGAAGCATCTGAAATTCGAGTTTGCACTTGGAAAAATTCGGCAGCAATCTAGAGAGTCTCTCCAGAAGTATTTGAACGATTTTAAATATGCGGCATTACAAGTTCCAAGTTAACAAGAAAATGTTCACCTGCATCTGATTGTAGCCGGCTTAGATGGTGCATCTCGTTTAGCAAAATCAATATACAAAGATCCAGTAAAAACATTGGAGGAGTTCAGAGCTCGGTCAAAGAAATACTTAGAGCTCGAGCAAATGGAGATAGCAAATGTGTTAGGAGAGGAAAATAGGAAAGGGAGCCCGAAGAGGAAAAGCCCTGCTCCAAAAGAAAAAGAACGACCAGTGAATAAGAAGAAAGACGTCAGAGGGAGAAACCTGGATGATAGATTCTGGGTAGGGAGGTATGACAAATATACTTCCTTAAATATACCACGATCTCAGATATGGAGAGAAGCAGCGATGACCGAGATGAAGAAAGTAGACCGACCTCGGCCTGTATTCAACAGAGGAGGTTTGGATCAATCCAAGTTTTGTACATTTCACAATGGACCTCGGGCTCAAAGAGCCTTTGGAGATATTCATCAGAGATGGAAAGCTGCATCAATATGTAATCAAGACTCGAGGATGGAAAAATAATAAGAGGAAGTTCAGGGGCCGAAGTAAAAGCAAGAACTTGGTTCCTGAAAAGAAAAAAAAAAAGATAAAGGAAAAAAGGATGACTTCAATGATGATGAGTTCCCAGAAGTCGAGTTCGACTGTAATGTAATCAGTGGAGTTCTTGGTGGAGGTGGAGACACCGTAAGTGCAAGGAGAAAATACATCAGAGAGGTGCTTTCGGTTAGGGATCAACTAAAGTTTAAGGAAGATCACAGCAAATTGGATGATCCACTGTTATATTTCACCAACAAAGACTTGAAAAACGTATTACCAGGACATGAAGATGGCGTGGTTATTACGAGAACTTTTGTGAACTGCTGGGTTAAGAAGATCTTCGTAGATGCAGGCAGTTGTGTAGATATTATCCTTTGCGAAGCTTTCAAAAGAATGAACTTGGATGAAGAAGACCTCAAGCCGTGTAAGACTACATTGATAGCCTTTAATGGGGAAAATACATCCCCTAAGGGATATATAGATCTCAGACTAACTCTGGGGGAAAAAAAGGCGTTTAAGTCAGAACGAGTAAGGTTCATAGTTGCCAACTTCCCCTCTTCATACAATGTGATCTTAGGAAGGCCAACCCTCCATAAGTGGGATATGTTGTTTTCCACTAAGCATCAAAAGTTAAAGATTGTGAGCCACAAGAATGAGGTCATTACTATTCAAGGGGATCAAAAGGAATCACGACAATGTTATTTTGAAGCCGTTAAAGAAAATGAAAGTGGACATTTAACACCGCCTCAGATTCGTCCAGGATATAAAGCGGGGAAACAGATAACCTCTCTACATCCAAGCAAACCAGTTAACATGGTTGAATTGGACATGAAAGGAGAAGCTATCATTACAAGACCTAAGCCAGATGGTGAATTGGAAGATCTTATTCTAGGGGATGAGCCTGGACAATTTACCAAAATCGGTAAAACTATCAACGCAGAGATAAAAGTCGGGTTGATAGAGCTTTTGAAGAAGAACAATGATGATTTCGCTTGGAAGTCATCTGAAATCCCTGGGATTGATCCCAAATTATGTTGTCACAAGCTAGCAATTTATCCCGGATCAACTCCGATTGCACAGAAGAAAAGGAAGCTAGGACCTAAAAGAAGATAGGTTTTGGAAGAGCATGTGCAAGATCTTCTTGATGCCGGGTTTAGAAAGGAAATTCAATATACTACATGGCTTGCTAATGTGGTAATGGTTAAGGAACCTAGTGGGAAATTGAGGGTCTGTTTGGATTACACTTATCTTAACAAAGTGTGTCCTAAGTATTCATACCCAATGCCCAATATAGACCAATTGGTGGATAACTCAGCCGGGTTTCAGTTGTTATCCTTTATGGTTGCTTATTCTGGCTATAACCAAATACCTATGTACCTAGGAGACCAAGAGAAGATGGCCTTCATTGCTGAGAGGGACAATTACTAAGGGGCAATAGAACTCTCTGAATTTATATAACTTATGAAATCAGCATGCTATTAAGTCTCAAGCATTAGCCGACTTCATAATGGAGCTCACTCCGACTGATGGAGGAAGCGCTGAGAAGGACAACATCTGGAAGGTTTACATTAATGGTTCATCAAATAATAAAGAAAGTGGATCTGGGATTATAATTGAGAGTCCGTAAGGGATTTCAATAGAATACTCCCTATATTT